TTATCACTGTATATTTGTACATTAGTGATTCATCTCATGCTTTTGTTTCTGGACCAAGTTTCTACTCCCATCAATGTGTCATTTCCAAATTACAATAAGCTTTACATACATCACAACGCAAAAATTGACAATACAAAATTATTTTACACTGGTTAAAAAGGTCCCTGCACTGGCTTCCTGTGGCTCAGAGAATAGACTTTAAAATAGCTCTGCTTGTTACAAGTCTCTCCATGGCCTCGCTCCAAAATATATTAGTGACATGTTAGTCCCATATGAACCAGCCCGGACTCTGAGGAGCACAGGGACTGGACTCCTGTTAGTGCACAGAGTCAGAACTAAACATGGGGAGGCAGCATTTCAGATTCATGCTGCTAAAATCTGGAACAGTCTTCCTGAAGATGTGAGACAGGCCTCCTCTCTGACAATGTTTAAAACCAGGTTAAAGACAGTTCTGTTTAACTGTGCATACAACTGAGGGATTTTATATCTTTATTATCTTTCTTTTTAATGTTGTGTGATTATTTATGATTTTAATGCTTTCTTATTTTGTTCAGCACTTTGAATTGCCTTGTGTATGAATTGTGCTATATAAATAAACTTGCCTTGCCACTTTCTTTTTTGCTAAAATCTACTGATCTAAAGATGTGACAAAAGCCCAAAATCCATGAATGTAAAACTCGGGATAAAACCTGTGTCGAGACTGCATGGATTCTGATACATCCTCCTTTGTTTTAAACTTAAACTTAGACAGACTTCATCGATCCACAAGGAAAATTGCGTTGTCACAGTAGCTTGCATAGTAATCCACAATAAAAAATAAGAATAATATTAAAGTATCAATCTGCAAAAAGAATAATATTAAGATAAGATAATATTGTGAGAAAACCAAAACATCAGTAAATATACAATTGTTACGGGGAAAAGAAGTAACTCAGTGCTCAAACGAGGATCTAGTTTTGCGAGTTAGTTTTAGTATCGACAGCCGTACTCTTCATTCATGATAGTAAACACACCATTGGATTATGTGACTCAGCGACGCCTTCGGAAACAATCGAGGATTACACAATACGCTCTGGATGTGTCAATGATTCAAAGAGATTATAATCAGGTGACATCTTAGAACGGCGGTGTGTGTGAGGTTTGCTTTGAGGTTTTGTTTGTGATTAACCTCAAAGAACACCACATTATAATCCTGGGTCCATCCTTGTGCCTGTGTGGTCACTTGAGACCAGATCCAGGGCCAGATCTGAGAGATATGGTCTGCACCAGTCACTTCTGTCGGCCTGCCCTGAGGCTCTGCGCAAATGGGGCATGAGAGAGTTAGAGATGAAAGGGTGCTAATAGTTTTGATTCAAAGAAAATCAGAAGAATATAGGCAAGGCAAGGCAAGGCAAGTTTATTTGTATAGCACAATTCATACACAAGGCAATTCAAAGTGCTGAACAAAACAAGAAAGCATTAAAATCATAAATAATCACAGTACATTAAAAAAAAGATAAAAATATAAAATCCCTCAGTTGTATGCACAGCTAAACAGAACTGTCTTTAACCTGGTTTTAAACATTGTCAGAGAGGAGGCCTGTCTCACATCTTCAGGAAGACTGTTCCAGATTTTAGCAGCATGAATCTGAAAAGCAGCCTCCCCATGTTTAGTTCTGACTCTGGACACTAACAGGAGTCCAGTCCCTGTGCTCCTCAGAGTCCGGGCTGGTTCATATGGGACTAACATGTCACTAATATATTTTGGTGCGAGGCCATGGAGAGACTTGTAACAAGCAGAGCTGTTTTAAAGTCTATTCTCTGAGCCACAGGAAGCCAGTGCAGAGACCTGAGAACTGGACTAACATGGTCGTACTTCCTGGTTCTAGTCAGGACTCGAGCTGCTGCATTTTGAATGTACTGCAGCTGTTTTACAGCCTGTTTGGACAGACCTGTGAGCAGGCCATTGCAGTAGTCCAACCTACTGGAGACAAATGCATGGATAAGAATCTCCAAGTCTGCTTTAGACACTATGTTTTTGATCCTGGCAATGTTTTTTAGATGGTAAAAAGCTGCTGATGTTACTGATTTGATGTGGCTATTAAAATTTAAGTCCGAGTCCAGTATTACCCCTAGATTTCTGACCTTGTTTGAAGGTTTTAGGGAGAGAGACTGTAGGTGACAGATGACGCTCTCTCTTTGTTTCTGGGGACCAAAGACAATCATTTCAGTTTTGTCTGCGTTTAGCTGAAGGAAGTTGTTTTGCATCCACTCACTGATCTGTTGGATACAGTGAAGGAGTGAGTCCACTGGTCCATGTTCTCCTGCAGTCAGTGAGACATAGATCTGAGTGTCGTCTGCATAGTTATGATGGGACACTTCGTTTCTGCGTATTAACTGACCTAACGGCAGCATGTAGAGATTGAACAGAAGAGGTCCCAGAATCGACCCCTGTGGTACTCCACAGGTCAGGGCCATATGATCTGAGACACAGTTTCCAATCTCCACAAAGTACTTCCTGTCTTCAAGGTAAGACCTAAACCAACTTAGGGCGGTGCCAGCGACGCCAACCCAGTCCTCTAATCTCTGTAAGAGGATCTCATGGTCGACAGTGTCAAAGGCAGCACTCAGATCGGGCGGCACGGTGGCTGAGTGGATAGCACTCTCGCCTCTCAGCAAGAAGGTCTTGGGTTCGAATCTCGGCCGGACCTCCTGTTCGGCGACCCCGCTCCCATCTCTGTGAGGAGTGAGAGGACAAGTGCCCAAAAATAACAATTGTAAACCACTTTGTGACTCTGGTCTGTGAAAGGCGGTATATAAATAAAGCTTACTTACTTACTTACTTATTACTAAGTTAATAGACAATAAATTTAAGATAAAATAAAATAAGATAAACTCTGGGCTATAATTGCACTTGGTTCGGAGTATTTACAGATGTCTATATTATACATTAGCAGCGGAGAATATGAGAATATGAGCAGAATAAACATCAGAAATAATATCAACAGGTAAAGTGACTTGAATGGGAGAATTATCAGATGGATATGAATAATACAGTAAGATATCAACAGGTAAAGTGACTAGAGCGCAACGCGACGGGCAGCCAGCTCCTCCAGCGCCTGTGCAAAAAATAAATAAATAAATAAAGTGCTGGGTTGTGTATGACTAAAGCCGATTTCCTAATGAACGATTCAGTGAGGCTTTTTACTGCCTCATATCGACCCGGGACTTCAACAAGTTTTGCATTTTACTCAGATATATTTGTTCTATGTATCAAATATCAAGAGTCAAAAGTATCGAGATGGAGGTTGGCCATGAAGAAGATTGATCCATGCATCCACTAGTTGCATGTATGTTACCTGTTTTCATTCAAAAACATTTAGAAATATATGTTTCCTCTGTGATAATTACTGACTAATTAGTATCGTAGTTCCCCGCGACCCGGTAACGGATAAAGCGGAAGAAAATGGATGGATGGATGGAGCTACTGACTATAATCACTGACCAATTTTTACATTGATAATCAGTGGCTCAGTTGGTAGAGCATTGCCATCTGAATCTAATGGTTGTGGGTTCGATTCCCCCACGACCCATGTCATCTGCTCTCACAAAAGTCTGCTGTTGTTGTGTCCCTGGGCAAGACACTTAACCCCACTTTGCCCGAAGCCCCAAAGCCGTATCTTTGTCAAAGCAGCCTTCTTCCTCTACCCAGAAATGGAACAATAAATGAATATTACATACAATTTAACATTACTATAGCTCTGTTTTTGTCCCTATTATTTGTTACATGTTTAGAGATAAGACGGGAAGGGGAAAGCGGGGGAAGAGGATGGAGAGGCGGGTGGTTCTTGGGAGTTGGAAGTGGGGGGGTTGAAGGTGGATGGGTTTTTAGACCAGAGAGAGAGACCAGAGAGAGGCCAGAGAGAGACCAGAGAGAGGCCAGAGAGAGAGACCAGAGAGAGACCAGAGAGGCCAGAGAGAGACCAGAGAGAGGCCAGAGAGAGACCAGAGAGAGGCCAGAGAGAGAGACCAGAGAGAGACCAGAGAGGCCAGAGAGAGACCAGAGAGAGACCAGAGAGAGGCCAGAGAGAGAGACCACTCAGCACGGTGGCTGAGTGGATAGCACTCTCGCCTCTCAGCAAGAAGGTCCTGGGTTCAAATCCCGGTTGGACCAGGGCCTTTCTGAGTGGAGTTTGCATGTTCTCCCCGTGTCTGCGTAGGTTTCCTCCGGGTGCTCCGGTTTCCCCTACCACTAAAAATATGTACAATAGGTATGGCATGTGCCTCCTGTACTGGCACTCCCAAAAAAATAACAATTGTAAACTGCTTTGAGACTCCGATGTGTAGTGAAAAGGCGGTATATAAATAAAAGCTTACTTACTTACTTACTTACCAGAGAGAGACCAGAGAGAGACCAGAAGAGAGTGACCAGAGAGAGATCAGAGAGAGACCAGAGAGACCAGAAGAGAGACCAGAAGAGAGTGACCAGAGAGAGACCAGAAGAGAGACCAGAAGAGAGACCAGAGAGAGACCAGAAGAGAGACCAGAGAGAGACCAGAGAGCGAGACCAGAGAGCGAGACCAGAGAGAGACCAGAGAGAGAGACCAGAGAGAGACCGGAGAATAAGATGCGTATTACTAAATTAGTTGAATTTATTAAACAAAAATGAACTATAAAGAACGTGTAGTCATTTGTATCTTGTAATTTGTATCAATCTTTTCGTGTTTCTCCAATTTACTGTTCATTTTCATTTCTGTATTGAATCATTTGGAGAACTAGGCCAGGCTAACAGGCCCTTCTATATGCGCACATACATATTCAAACACAGAATTAGTATCGTAACATTGTGTATTTTAACAGTAACATTTAAAATCGGGTTAAACTCAGGTGTTGGTGTGCTTAACTCATGTGGGCTGTCCAAAAGCATGTCGGATGGCCTGCCTCGCCTGTGTTTTACGACGCCGCGATCCTCTGATGTGATGGATGGAGTGTGGAGCCTTTGAGCCTGTGTCTTGTTGCAGGTGTGGGCCGTGGTCTGCCTGCTGCCTCTGGGCTCCTCTGCAGAACTGACCTGTGAAGTCCTCATGCTCGCGGGGAACAGCTCCTGTAAGTACATACTGACCCTAGTATTATCCTTTTCACAGTAATTATTGTGATTCTGAGTGCTTGGAGAAAGTCATGTAGAAAGTCATGTTTTTCTTGAGTGTTTTTGAACCAGAACATACCGTGATTTAGGTCCAAGATTAGCCAAATACGAACCACAAAACTGCGTTAGAACTGTAAAATCATGTTTGAAAGATGATACCTGCTGGTTTTGGTTTTGAACTTGTGTTATGTGGTCATATCTGACTATGACCAGGGCTGAAACCATGACTCAAGTTAATTGAAGAAAGCAATTACCGGTACTCAAAAGTTTCCGCATTGTGCCCAAGCTGCTTCGAAGGCGACAATCTGATCTAGTAATTATGATAGGTTATATTTTGAAATGTAAATATTCCTAAAATATATTTCAAACACCACTTCAACGGTGTAAACACAGTTAGATTACTTGATTAAAGGTAATGTCAGAAACTTCAATTGAATTTCACTTTTTAGATTTTTTTCTGACCAAGAGACACTGCACTAGCACAGTCATTTTCAACTGCATTGATTTTGATGTTTTGATTTGATGATTAGTTCACAGACGTCCAATTCAATTGTGTGATTTGTCAATTAAATTAAGTTTTTTAAAAGTCCTCACTTATAATATGTGTGTGTAAATATCTCATGTAATAAATAGTTTTTTGTTTCTCTAAAAAGACATGAAAGTGACAAGAGGGTTTAGATGTTGAGCCCTACCTTCACCTAAGACTAAGAACAGTCCGTGACTCTTCTTCCTCTTATTACTCACAGTAAAAAGAACATGATGAATGTTTTTGAGCTACATTTTTCAATATTATAATGTGGGACAGGTGCAGCTTGAACAATTATAAAAACAAATGTCTTTCTAAAAACTAGAGCCTGCGGTTTATAGTCAAACCTTTGCTCCAACTCCCTCTGGCTTCTATTGACTTTCATCAAAAAGCTAAATTCTCGCTTAGTAATCGTTTCTGTCAATCACCATTTTAGGATAAAAAAAAAAAAAACATGGGTTTGCGTTCTCTATATGATCTGTTTTGATAATGTCTTTCTAAATCCACATATGAGCCATATAAGAATCGATCAGATGCCGGGGAACTCGGCCTTAGCGACCGCCTTAGCATTTTCTGCCCCTGCCACGGTGAGAAGCTAACGTTGTCGTTACATGGAAGGATATTGGCTCCAGCTAGCTTATGTTTAATTTAGCCTTCTCCACATTTACGTCTGCTCATAAATATACAGTCAACGCTCTCCACTTGTGTATTTTATTTGTGTGCTGTACTTTGTAATGTCTGGAAAGCACTTTGTGACAGTCATGTATGGTTTTTTTTTGCGTGCTATATACATAAACTTGACCTTGACCAACTCAGTTTAGAAGTAACTGACATTCACTTGAAAGGTAATATTTGATAGATCACTCAAATAATCGTTAGCTGCCTCCTTCATATGATTGATACGAACTTTGAAGCTGTTTAATATCTTCAAAACAATAATTTCGTTGGTATTTTCCCCATATTGCCCCCTGCACATGTAAGTACAGTCCACAGCTGCACGTGTTTCTGATCCAGACTCCCCTTTGATCATAGTGACAGCTTTTTTTTTTTCTCCCAAATGCCACCAACTCTTGACCTTTCTCCGCAAACATCTTGGAGTGAACTCATGAATTGATTTTTGTATTCTTTCCACAGTTGCGAGAAACTACAGTAAATGTCAAATCCTCATCTCCACTTATTTTTTGTGGATATTGGCAAAATGTCGTTTTGAATTACTTCCATTTATTAGTGTGTAAAACCTGCCGTGGCCACTCACAGCGTCATGCACTTACAGCTCAGGCAGAGGCACAAAATGGCCTTTATAATTTCCCCCTTGTGTACAGTAAAAAACATGAGTTAGCTTTTTAAAGGAGTATTTAATGTTGCGTTACATGTAGCTCAATGAGAATGATTTCACTCTGCAATGGCGAAAATTACTCACACCTTTAGGGTTGAAAAGGTTTGTCATTTTGAGGGGTAACTGTTTATGCTGTTACTAGGCAGAGGCAAATAAATAGCTCAATGTGACCCGGGCAAATCAATAAAAGTTTATCACTGGATTTCTCAAATTAGAATGAGGTGTGCTGCCGTTCCCTCGCCGGAAATCAGTGGCTGTTACCCCTAATTTACACCGAGCATAAACACAGAAGCGCAGGTTACGTCCAGAATAACTTTTTTAATGTATTGAGCCTGAGAATTTTCATCTGCCGTGAAATAGGTGTGTAGTATGGGTATAAAATCAGCAGAAAATAGTTCACCGCTATGCATCCTGGCTCATCTCCGTGGGGAAGCGTGATGAAAAAATGATGCACATATCCCATAGTTTGTATATAGATGGACAATGCTAACCCACTAGCTCAATGACGCCCAATAGGAAAGTGCTCATGGACAACGTTTTGCCCCTTTTGTGACATGCATAGAAAAGTAAACTCCTCTCGGCAACCGTTTGTTCCACACTCACCATTTTCTCTAAGATCCTGGGCTTTTATCATGATATTGGAAATGCAGATTTGAGCCATTAGGATTCACTAATCAGATACCGGCTTGCCTTAGCAACCATCTTAGCAACACATCTGCCCCTGCCCCAATGCAAAGCTAACCCCTTCGGAACAAATGCCCTTGTAAGGAAATTGGGTCCAGCTACAGTATGTTGATTTTTTTTTTTTTTTTTTACATACATTACGGAATTTGCTATGTGTAAATTGGAGGTTAGTCAAATGGACAAGTTTAAACCGGCCATCAGGGCTATTAACTTTATGATAATGTCGTTGTTATGTTTACATTGGAGTAAGTATGAGGGCATAGCTATCATGACTAAACCTGACACAGTATCCGCAGATCCATAAATACATTTGGGCTGTGGAGTTGCTCACCTGCACAGCAGCCGCGGCGCCAGGGATAGGCCCGGGTAGGCCGGTGCCTACCAGTTTTTTCTTGGCCTACTCAAATTTGTTTTTTGCCTCTCAAGTCATTAGCCTTTTTATTAAAAGTCATAATTTAAATATTGTTATTTTTATACACACATTATTGCCTAAATGTTGCGTTCTAATGTTTTAAGAAAATGTAACCCCCTGCGCGTTCACGTTGCTTCAAATATAGTCCTGTTTATTGGCTGAATAATTTTGTCCAATAATCTGCATGATCATATCACACAGCGCGAAGCTCGTTCCCGAGAACAAGCAGCCATTCCTCGTCTTTAAGATTGACAACGCTCTCAAAACATTCAAAACAGAGCAGCCTTTTTAGTCATTTTAGTTTTAAGAAAGTTCAGCGTGAACTTTGTGAGGTAGAGGAGCCAGAGGCCTGGGCCCGTAGGTCCCAGAGGAGGAGAGCGCAGTCAGGCCAGGTTCACCTCGTACTGATGAGGTAAACCCCAGGCCTGTGTGTGTGTGAGACACACAGGGCCTCATGTATGAAACTTGCGTACGGACAAATCAGGGTGTAAATCAGGGTGGAATCACTTTTCCGCATTTATCTATCTGGACGTGAGCGTACAATACGCAAAAAAATATGCGGCAGGTCTGGAGGTGGAGTAAACGCTGATCTCAACCTTCGGCTCAACACGCCAAAACACGCATGAAATTCAGGATTTGGACAACAATAAACATATTCCCTCTGGAAAAATTATAAGATGTGTTTTCATTGAGCATCATGTTTCAAAATTTGAATTTGCGCATCGGAAAAAGCCTAATGGAAAAATGCAAACTTCGAATAAATCACAGCTCATGATCAGGACCCTCTATTAAATCTGACTTGTGTGTGTATTATTTTGATCTGTATGTTTTTTAAATGTGAAGCAGTTTGTGATCCTGAACTGTGAAAGGCTCTATATAAATACACTTTACGCAACAGGGATGTGTGACCCGTCTATTGCTGTGGCAGGCTCTGCGCTGCGTAATTACGCACGGCTATTTGTATTCCTCACATCTGGTAAAGCAATGTGTTATTTCATTAGATTTGTGTAAGCCTCACACAGACACACACCCCAATAACGCACCGATGGTATTGCTCACTCCAAATGTCTCACTGCCCTGTCCAGAGTGCGCAGCGAGTTCCGTGAGATATCGCACCACATAACTCCTCAAATGTGCAGAAGTTTTGGCTCCAGAGTTTCTTTGTGAAATCTGGACCGCAAACACTCTCTGAAGTGTACAGTGCTTCAATGCGCACTTCTACCCCGAGCCAGGCTGCGTCCAAGACGCTGCAGACGCTTCATGAGAGCCACCGCTGCATAATAAATATGAATTCATTCATTCATTCATTCATTCAATCAATCTATATTTATTCACTTCTACAATTCAAGAGAGATTTTTCTAATGTATCAAAACTATTTTAGCAAATTTGTGCAAAACGCAGCTGAATATATAGCGTATATTTATTTTTACATAAACATAACAAACAAACATGCCTTTTGAGGCTTCCAACAGTCTTTTTGGACTTCCGTGCTGACCTGTCGCGAACATTGCTGCATAATTGCGTGACTTTCATAAATACGTTCGTATTCAGCCGATTTATCAACACCCGCAGTTGCGTACGCTCAGATCTGGGCTGATCTCACACGTTCATAAATCCGACGTTGGATTTTGCGTAAATGGAATATACACCCCAAATGTACACATTTTTCTACGCAAGTTTCATAAATGAGCTTGTGTGTATGTGTGTGCTTGGGTGCGTGTGTGTGCGCGTGCGTGCATTTGAACCATATTCTTTGAAACCCCAATTCCAGCTACCCCTTGTAGTTTGCGTGCGAATTTGGCCTACTTACTAATCTGCAGGCCTATCCAAAATTGCAAACCTGGCGCCGCTACTGCTGCACAGTCCTGATTTTTTACTTCACAAACTTCGGGGCTTGCCACTTCCTTATGAGTCGCCATGACGACACCAATTCCTGTTTCTCTATCTCTGCATTAAAAATACCTTTTGTGGAGGAGTAAAATTAGAGACAAATGTAAGTTGGGAGAATGGCCTATGATGCACTAACAACTAAGTATTTTCTTTTCAAACTGTCATCCATGACCTATAATCACGTGTGATTGCTCCAGACTTATAATTACACTAATGATACATGTTGCACCTTACATTCTAGAACCTGATGGAGCTACATATTTCAAAGACCTGCTGATTGTAAAGGTCTATTGACTGTAAACCAACTGTAACCACATTGTATGGCTTAATCATGCTCTCAAACTCACTCAATATTTTTTCAGATTTGGAAACATGACAACGCTAAAAACATAGCAGTAATTTTACGACAAAATTATTTTAAAACATGTTGAATTGGTTAAAATGCTCAAAGTGAATGTGTCACGAGGTGGAAAGGAGAAGGACTCAAAATGCAGGAATGCAAAAATAATGATTTAAAGATGATAAAGTAAATGTCCAAGGTAAAAACAAACTCAAAATCGAAGCAAAACACGGGAACCAGATGAACAAATGCAATGAACCAGTAGGAGAGAGGAGCACAGGTACAAATAGACACAGGTGAAACACATTAGGGCGGGGCAGACAAGCAAGAGAACAAGACAGGAAGTCAAACTGAAACAAAACCACAGGAGCGCTAATGTCAAAATAAAATACCAAATCCACACCATGCCAGAACATCAGTTACTTTTCAGACTGACACATTTTCAAGACTAGTTAGACCGCTAGCTTCCTGATTAGAAAAAAATATTGTCATTGGTCTAATTGTTCTCCTCAAGCAAATCTTACTGGTGGCACTATATCAATGAGAGAGACTATTAGAGGGACTATTTTAAATATTATTATTGAAATTGACTTACATGTGTCCATTGGTCAGAAATATGTATATATATATATATATATATATATATATATATATATATATATATATGCAAGTATATGGAATGTCAATAAGAATAATCAAATCAAATCGAAAATCAAGATCAATCAATATGAACGTTTTTGGTTTTTTCCCGTATCGTCCAGCTTTAGTCTTACTTTCATTTCCCAAAACAACAAAACCAGTCAAAAATATATGATCCTACTCCTCTTACCATAACATCTTCACTGACATAACAACAAATGATACCGTCACACACTGCGCTTGTGTGGAAGTAGGATTCCCAGCGGTGGCCGTGGGGTGGCTGAGCTCTTCCTGTATGATTAGTGCAGCAGTAATAGGCTGACCCCGGGGCACGTCTGGGCACATATTTGCAGCTATGGCCCTGTTATTGCCCCGGGAAAGGTCTGTCACCAATGTTTACTGTTGCCCTTTAATGCTCAGTCGTCGTGGCTCTTAAGCTGCATCTAATGAGATTTTTGTAGCTTCTGAAAAATGTGTTATAATTAATGAAATCATTCTTCCCGCAGCTCAAGTCTTGATGGCAAACTGGAACATTACCCTGCCCAATGTTTCGAGTACGTGGAGAGGTGAGTTGTTTAGTCTGTTAATAGTTTATTCATTATTCAGAAAAATGTGAATTTATTTCCCGGGAATAGCATTGTCAAAGTCTAAGAATACTGGTTTATTCCTTTGAGGACAAACTGAATCTTGTGTCATGACATCAAGGCACTGACAGCAATTCCCAGCGATATTGAAGGAAGTGTCAACCGCAGAGGACAAAGCACTTTTGGGGAAAAATGTCCTCTGTGTAATTTTTTCAGTTGCTCCAAATGAAAAAAAAAAAAGTTTACCAATAACAAATGTGACCGAATATTTAGCTCCATCATGTTTTTAAATTGTTTTCATAGACTTTGAATTTGACTAATAGGTGTCCATGAGGCTGAGGACTCTCTGTGTCAATGCTCCATCTTGGAATACAGTGGTTGATAAGGGACAAAAAGGAGATTGAGAGATTTGAGACGACATATTATTCTGCGAAGCCACCGTAGTACCGTAGATTACATTATATAATCTCAACGCTAGACGGGAGTAAAAACTGCACAGTGCACCTTTAACCTTTAGTTCCTCCTCCATCACTGTTATGTCTACTGTTGACCATGCTACTGTATGTATTGGTAGCATCTCCACAGATTGGTTATAATTATAAAGCAATGATTTGAGAACTCATGATGATTACCACTGGCTACTGCTATAGTCATGATGGTTTTCCCTTAAATCTCCTGCAGCCAATATCGCAGTTACTGACACTGACACCGTTTTCAATCATTTTGGCATCAACTCTCCAAAGTCCATATCTGTTCAGTTCAAATGATGCTTGAAGTGCTACTAATACAAACATTTACTGTATGTAATGTTGCAGCTGCTTCTTCCACTCTAACTGTAAACAATATTATTATATGACTTGGACCGTACGCGCGCTCTGATTGGCTGATTACCGGTCTGATATTTTCCCATCTCGGACTGTTACCATGACAATTGGTCCGAACAGCGCGTATCACATTTGATATCTTTCCTCGGTCCGTTACCATGACAATCTGTCCACAGCCCGTATCACACAAAACCAAGTCGGACATGAACATACTTCACAAATATCTCAAAAGCATTGGTAAAGACACAGACGAGAGTCATATAATAAAACATTTATTAACCTCGCTTGCTCGGTCTGTGCAGAGAAATATCAGACCGCGGCCTTAATGTACAGACCAAGCCTCATTCCAAGATGGAGTGACTTTTAGTTGTGTTTGTTCCAACAGAAAGAGTCTTGTAAACAGATAGTGAAAGAATGAGAATACAGGCCGTCTTTATCTGATTAAAAAATGTGTAATTTATGCATACTTAAAAGCGAGCCCTGTGCGCTTTGGGAAAGAGAGCGGAACAAGAGTGGTCTGCTCTTTTTCACTTTTCTGACTGAATATTTTGATCTAAATATGTGAGAGAGGCCAATAAATGCATCCATGTTAATACTAGTGACAGAACCAGACTGTTTTGAGAGCGAGGAACGATTAGCCCCATTTCCACCAGCCCTACTTGGCCTCACTACTCTACTCTACCATACTTTTCTCTACTCGGCTCTACTCGACTCTACTCTACCTGGTTGCGTTTCCATTACACTTTTATATGTGGTACAGTACAGTTGCAATCTACCTTTAACAAACCAGTATCCGTGGGAATTCCTTAGTAACCATGGCCTCCAGCAAAAGTCCAAACACTTTAGTACCAGCTTGGCCTGAATAGAACCAGGGCTAACCAGGTACTAAAAATTAACTGGCACCGGTTCAACAGGGCTGGTGGAAACACTCCCAATTGGGGTAGAGTAGGGCCGAGTAGAGTAGAGCAGAGTAGAGTAGAGAGGGGCCAAGTAGGGCTGGTGGAAACGGGGCTACAGTAATAGGTACATAAGGTACACCAGCTATAAAGTATGATTTATAAAACATGCTCTGAAATATATCTAAAATCTACCTCAAATGAGTTTCTTAGATTAAATATCCGGATGCATTCCACCGTGATACATGCGACATGTGTTGATTTGAATCTTCGTCATTACACGCTTTGGCAAAAACCCCTAAGAGGGATGGAAATGTGATGCGAACCCCGATTAGGTTCAACTTCAAAGCCGATATCAAACAATGCTAGAAATAGATCTGATGCCGCATTAGCAGTTTTGGCGGGGGCTCCTGATTAAACCCGTGTACGCAAACAGCTCGTTCAGGCCACAAATGTATGACATTTATGACCAGCAGCAGCGCAACATAAACACATCTTTCCTGTGGCTACAAGAAGTCCACAGTCGTAGCAGAAATTTATGTTTGACTGTTTTCCCCGAAGGCTCTGGACCCTACTGCGAGATCTCCATCGATGGCATCGGCACCTGCTGGCCCCGCAGCGGCGTGGGGCAGATGGTGGCAAGACCCTGCCCAGAGATGTTCTTCGGGGTCCGGTACAACACTACAA